CACCTGGCTCATTATTTCTTTAAATAAGCTTTGTGCCCTTTTCTCTTGGCACTGAACTGTACCATCTTGAAGAGGATGATATGGATTAAATGAAAGATCTTTCTTATCCTTTTCAGTGTTCCACCAAGGTGCTGAAACCTTTTAGCTGGACTCATGGGCTTTGATGAAGATAGTTATCTGTGGATAGTAGTTAAAATTAGGTTTCTAGGGCTAGGTGTGTAGCTTAGTGGTAAAATGCTTAGTTAGCATGCACAAGGCGATGGGTTTGATCCTCAGCACTACAAAACATTTTATAGGGTTTCTTGGGCGTGGGGGATAAAACCTCCTATTCTACCATCTTGTTGACATCCAAGAATTGTACTTCTTATCCTTAGTGTCATTTCCATTTCTTCTTAAGTACCAAAAGCAATAATTCAGAATCAGAGGCATATATACTATTCATTTTAAGCTTAAATATTCTCAAAGATCTACTGTGAGCCACTCTAAAGATTGTAGTCTCTAATCTGAAAATAGTTCTTGGTACTTGAGCATGACTGCACATCTCTTGGATACTTTTTCAAATGTGGATTCCGGTTCAGGAGGTCTGATTCAGAAGATCTCGGGTAAGGGCCAAGATTCTATGTATCTTAAGTTTCTAGGTGCTACTGTTATCTAAGCTCTGAGTTACAAGTTGTACTATTTCCTAAATAGTTACACAGGAATAATAAAGAATTGTATTGGTAAAGTACAGTCAAGACAGAGATGTAGTAAAGAGCCATCTGGGAAATGTGTGCTCAGGTTCCAGTACTTAGTTGCTTAGAATAAAATAAACAAACAAACAAAAAAACTGCATTGCCTATTTAGTCCAGTAATGTAATATTATTGACATATAATTGATTTCTATTACCAAAATTAAAGTTGACTAGGCTGCTTCTATTAGAAATATTCCTTGCAGTTATGAAACCTGTGTCCCAGTGTGTCAGGGCATTTTAAATTCTCTGGGAGTTAGAGCCTTTTCTCCCAGAATTCTGATAGACTATATGCAAAATTACTGACATACTTTTGATGTTTCCGTAAATAGCATGCTAGATCCATTGCAAAGAGAAAATTCTCTGGGATTTTGCCCCTGAGCACAAATCAGCATAGAAAGTGCCTTCATGACTGTTCTCTTGGGCACCATTTGACTCAGTTTCTTGATACATGTGGTGAAAATGGGCATGACTGACTTCTTAGAGGTGAAATGCTCAAGTGCCTAGTAATTGCAAAAGAATAGCAGTTGCTTTCTCTTCTGCGTGTTCTCCTGAGTGTGCTGTTTGCTGTGTTGTTTATTGGCATATCCAAAAATAACAACAATAATTTAGAAAACCATTCTTTCTGAAATGTCCTATTTTAAAATATCAGATTCACTGATTTTTGAAGTACAAAAACAAATGGAAAACTGGACCTTGGCAGCTACTAATCGCATTCTGTAGAAAATGTCAATTATGAGGTTTGGGAAGAGGGTGTACACCTTGTAAATCAGGAATGGCAGCACTTTTTAATGACATTCGTTTAGCAATTAAAGTGGTGGCTTTCTCGGGAGTGCTAAATAGGTGATTTCTTCCAGCCAGCTACTCTCCACTTTTGGTCGCTCACTTTCAATCAGCCATCAGGCCACACACTCTGTGTGTGTTTCTGGAATCTGTTTCTAACTATTCGTTCCCATTGCAATTACCCTCTTACAGGCCTTGATCTCCTCTCCCCTGAGCCATTGCAAGAACTTGTTAAATGATTTCTCCAACTCCAGATTCATCCCAATGCTAGTCACCTCCATCTCTTGCCCTTGGAGACTATCTTTCTAAAGACAGGCTGATCATTCCGTCAGTGGGATCATCCCATTTCCTTCCCTGAAGACACCTGTTTTCTTTCCAGTGCTGATAAGATGAATTGAGACTTTTAGAATAGCTTCTACTTTTTATCCACCCTTCCCCTGGCTTCCTCAGCTCTACTGGCGCCAAACAGTTGGACATTTATCAAACACAGTATGTTGTCTCGCATTTTTGCCTTTGCTTAAACTGGGCCCTCTGCCTAAAATCTGTTTCACCACTTCACTACTTAGAAAGCCCATTTTTTTCTGTTATTCAGAAATGAATGATTCTTCTTTAGGAAAATCTTCCGGAGAGTTCCTTCTTCTATGGCCTCATGGCTCCCTGCTGAAGCTTCTTAAAGAGCATCACTGTGAAGTGTCCTAATTATTTGATAATTGTGTGTCGCTCCTTCTGAAGTTGAGATCTTGCTTTCAAACATTGTTGCATATTTCAGTTCTGGAGCTGGCATAAATAGGTACTCAATAAATAACTCTTTTGAATATAGTGGATGGTGAGAACAGAAGGGCAGGTAGATGGACAAAAGAAGGAAAGAAATGGAGAGACAGAAAGAAAGAAACAGAGAATGATGTAAATTATTGGCTCATGAACAATTGAAAAGCAGAATATAGACATTTATAAATGTATACATGCATATATCTACACATAATGTATACCCATGGTTCATACTATGACTCTAAACTATAAATCTCTCTTTCTTATCAGATGATCTTTTGCAACAAAAGGACCCGATAACTAGTGCTTTTCAGTATTAATGTGTTCTTATTATGCTTGGCTCCAATTCTGCCCTTTTCCCTTATTCTAGAATGATGGAGCACTTCGGCTTGTAGCTAATTCGATGGTATGGGTTCCAGAAGGGGGGATGCTGCAGATTACCAACAGAATCTTACAGGCTGAAGCTCCAGGTGCCAACGCTGAAGATATTGTCTACAAGATTACACAAGACCACCCCCAGTTTGGTAAATTTTTTTTCTTTGCATGGTTTCATCTCTGCATTCAGCAGTCTAGGACTTGCTTTTATACAATGCCATGAGCAAGGTTGCAGTTCCAGTGAACTCTCTAATTTTATACACCTCTCTTAAAAGCAGATCAATTTCCACACCTACCACACTACATACATTTGCTAGGTAGTGAGTATATTTTATAAATACATTATATATAACAGCTAAATCTTAATTTAAATTTCTAATAACTTAATTTTGCACACTAGAAACCTGGGATAAACCAGCTTGTTAACAGTCAATGACTAATTAATGGATGTCAGTTAAATTTCAAAAGTCAGGCTCTCAAACTCTACCTTAAATCGTTCTCAGACCAGACTTCTTGATGTGAATTTTAAAAAGTATATTTCACAGAAACATTCTTCAGCATTCACCACTGTTACTTCTTCCAGCAAGATAGTAGAATACATTAACCAGAGAAATTGCCCATTGTCATTGCCTCAAAACGCTGGATAAAATGTAGCAAGAAGGGTAAGGTGTTCATAGCTGAGCATCCAAGATTGTAAAGCATTCATAGCTGAGCACCCAAGAATAAAGAGAAACTCCAGGTGCCAGCAGCAAGGAAGGCACTGGAGTCAGTGTGCAAGAGCTCAGGATACAGCTTCCCTGAGAGAGGCAGTCTGTCTCAGGAACCTGGGAATTTAGGAGTTAAAATTCATGCACAAACAGGGAGCTGAAATTAAGACCCCGCCTAAAACCAGGGCTCTGGAAGGATGGTCCTTCACTTAGAGAGACAGAATAGGAAAGAAGAGGCTCATCAGCACAGAGACCTGCCTTTCTCAGAGTAGAGCAAAATGTCTGCTGAGAATTTAGAACTTCGAGCCTATTTCTCCTCCAGATCCAGGATTAAATTAAAATATATGCCTTGTGCACAAAACCAAAAATGGAGACTTTATGTGAAAATTAATCTAAGGCCAATGACACTTCTTGGGTTCCTTTCAGGAAGTATAAACCACTGTAACAAGGCCTACTGTCCACCAGGCCACTAGGACTCTCAGATCAATTTACTGAGAATTGGTACAGAACCCCAAACCAAAAGACACAGGAGAACACAAAACTAAAACAAACAAGGTGATTAAAACCCCAAGAATTTCAAAGAAAGGAACAATTATTAAAAACTATGTAATAGGTATATTTAAAATGGTTTAAAGACCTAAAAGAAGGAGTCACAACTGAAAGAAAATTTCAAAATGCAGTATAAATAAAGGAACAGGTAGTGGATTTGTTTTGTTTGAAGTGGGGTCTGGTGTTGTTTAGGCTGGCCTTGAACGCCAGGACTCCAAGTATCCTTATGAGTCATCTTCCCACGTGCTGGGACAACAGGCATGTGCCACTGCACCCAGCTTAGGCAGATTTTTTTAAAGTATCTAAATTGATCATCTAAAAATGAAAATTATATTCATAAAAACTAAAAATCCACTTGGCACATTAAAAAGCAGAGAAAGAATAATTTTTTTCCCCTCTGGGTTATCACATTTAAAAAATTATGCATTTTCTGTAGTGAGGAAAAAAATTAACTCTAGACAATTTGAAAATAATTCCAGTGTCCACAGACATTAAAAAGCATAATCTTATCAAGAATTGATATTATAATTATAAAATAGTCTAGTTGAGATATAATAGAACTTCATGATTGTGAAGAAGGCAACTGTACTCCCTTGGGCCATAGGTTTCTTTGAGAAATTAGGTCAGATAATTTTTTTACTTCTTATTTAAATAATTTTAGACTTAATTGAAAAGTTGCAAAAATAATTCACAGTTCTTGAATACTTTACCCATCTTCTCCTAATGTTAATATCACACATGACCATAGAGCAGTTATTGAAACCAACAAATTTACATTAATTATCTATAGATCTTATTCAAATGTTGCCAGTCTTCTCACTAATACTATTTTTCTGAACCAATCCAGAATTCCAGCTTGCATTTAACTGTCATGTCTCCTTGGCCTCCTCCAATGTATGACAGTTCTCTGCTTCTTTTCTTTAATGACCTTAATACTTTTGCAGAGTACTTGTTAGATATTTATAGAGTGCTGCTCAGTTTGGGTCTGTCAGGTGGTTTTTTCTTTATTAGATTAAGATTATGCTTTTTCCCCTTTTTCAGTGTACGATATCAAGGGTGCATGATGGCCCTGTCTTATTGCTGGTTAACTTGGCTAAAGTGATATCTGCCAAATTTCTTCACTGTTAAGTTACTGTTTTCCCATTTGGAATTAATAAACATCCTGTTCTCATCTTACTTCCAACTACTGATTTTAAGCTAGATAACATTTAAGTCCTTTTCATCTCTAAAAATCTAAGACTCTTATATTAAATTCTCTACCTTGATTATTAAAAGCCAAAAGCTAAGCCCCCAAATTTCACAGAAACAGCACAATGTTTCATCAAATATTAAACAGAACAATGCTGAATTAAATTGCTTTAAGCAGAAAAAGTTTGCCATTTCTTCTTAATAAATGCCATGTAGACTTTATTGTGATCCCTTTCTTACTGTAACTCTCTTAATTAATTTCTTCCTGTGAACATAATCTTTCTTTGTGTCCAGATCTCACTACTAACAGTAATCAAATCACATTACCCTTGGGAACTATTTAAGAGTGAAAAGAGTGGTGGGAACTAGACACCTGTCTACCTTCCTCCATCTGTTCAGTGAGATGCATCTGTGTAGGCGTTACTTCCTTGGCCCCTGGCTACTATGAACTCCCTTATAATTTCAGAAGGTTCAGGTTGGACTCCAGGCATTTTGTGAAGAGTTGACCTTGGAATGCAAATAAATATAAATTTTTTTTCTATAGTATGTGCATAAAGGGCCTAAATTCAACTGCTCCCTGATTCACCACTATCTTCAAATAAAGGTTTAGATGAGTTGATTAATACTTGTACCCTTTGCTACTTCATAGATTTGAAAATAAATTTAATGGGATGGTTTTAACAAAATACCTTGAACATCATTTGAGGGACAATCTGACTTAATCATACTGCCAACTCTAAATTATTCATCACAGTATAAGAAAACTGTTAATAGAAATTATCTCAATCCCAACATAATTCATGGAGTTCCAAATGAGATTCTAATCCTTAATAGCTATTAAATTTTCTCTTCAAAATTCTTAGTTAAAATATAAAATTTGGTATACAGGGAATCCCAAATGGAGATGATTTTCAGTATTTTAAACCTGTGTCATATCCTTGTATGAAATAATCATAGAAGCAGAGGTAAGGTACTACAGAAAAGGTTGTTTCTCTGGGGAGTGATATTGGACAAATTGTATCATTATATTATATGCATGTATGAATATATAACAAATCATATCATTATATAATATGATCAACTATAATGCACTAATAAGAAAATGTGGAAAGAGGTGGGGGAAAAGGGTGCCTCTTACCACTGTGTGGTGACTCTCACACAATACCAGTATTTCTCCTTGTCCACTCTTGAGCTTGTCACCAAGGTTTCTGTATTAAACACATCCAGTACTGAACTCTTTGTCCTCCCTCCAACCTGCCATCCTCCTGTTATTATATTTTCACACCTATTATTCCATAATATTATTACATTACTATTACTTGAGTGATTTTTTTATAGAATAAATTCCAGCCTCTCTACCAGGACTACCAAGCTTTATAGACTTTCTATGTTCTGATCACACACATTATGTGTTCTAAATCAGCTCATGCCATTCACCTACTGAGAATCTCCCAGTGGCTTCCACTTGGTTGGGGCTGATCTTTAGGGATAGGAACTGCATCTTGCTTATCTTTGAATCCCCCTAGTTTCTAAGGGCCTCTTTTAGTAAATAGACCCATTGGGTTCTACTTATTGTGTTGAATCTAATGAAATTGGCCAATATCCTGTGATTCCTGTCTATCTGTATAGCATGGAAGAAACTTTTATATGAAAAAGAATTTATTAGGCCTCATTAGGAAAATTCTGCATTACTTTTCTATTAGAAGGCCAAGTAGCTAAGAAATCAGCAATTGAGTGTGTTCTGTCCCTTCTACCCGTCACGTTTGCATTGTGGTGATTTCCTTTCAGAATATTTTCTGGCTGTATTTGCACTCATAAAAAGTCCACATCCTGGGAAGTCATGTCTATTAAAGGCACCTTATGAACAAAATTTGAGTTGGGAGAGTGGTAATGGAATTTTTGACTAGGTACAAATGAAAAATAATATAAGAAAGAAAACTAGAGTGAGTTGATTCCACACCTGATTCTGTAAAGAAGAGTAGTGATCTTCTTCTTATATTTCAGTATTTTATTACCATCCAGGACATTATGCTCATTTTAAACTTGAATTTAGAGCATCTAAATATTAGAATGAGTGTTTTCTTTGACTAAGAAAATAAATTTCTCTAGGGTAATTAAAATGTGCTACAAATTTTTTGGGAAAAAAAAATGTGCTGTCAATGGCCCAGTATGTCTGTTTTAAGAACTCGGTGTTCTCCTACTGAATATTTTAAAAATAGACAAATAAACACATAGATGTTATTTTTCTCCTCCACCTCACACTCTTCCATGCCTTTCACTATCAAAAGTGAAAGGATGTCTTCTTTCAGATTTATTGTTAGATGCCTTTTCGTGTGAATATCGCTTATTTTCAGCAGTTCTTCTATTTCGGTTTCACCTTCACTTGAAGGTATATTCTTCTTGTGAAATTTTAATTGTTTCTATAACACCTCTGTATTTGTGATCTCACTTTAAGACAACAGTAGCTTCAGGTGAATAATAAGCAGTAAAAACAGATTTGGTGGTGTTTAGAGTTATAGTTTCTTGCTTCAATCCAAATAAAGTTTAAAGAATGAAGGAGGAGAAAACATGATCAGTTATTTATCAAGATTGATACTAATACATATAAACAAAATACTGATTTTGATTGATAACAGAGGTTCATGACCAAGAATATGAGCTTCAGATCTAAATCCTCACTCATTACCTTATCAAATGTGTGATGTCCACTGAATTTCTCTGAACCTAAAGAACTTCATCTGATGAATTAATTCATGGAGATTCATGAAGATGATAATAACATCATTTTAGAAGTATTAAATAGAAATTACAGTAAGGATGAGCATTTGTGAAATGTTTACTGCAAGTTGAGCATCCCTTATCCAACAGGCCAAGGCCACAAGTATTTCCGAATTCAGATATTTTTTTTTCAAATTTTGGAATATTTGCATATCTGTAATGACATGTCTTTGGCATGGGATCCATGTCTAAACATGGAAATTCATCTATGTTTCATATACACCTTATGCACATATCTCAAAAGTAATTTTATACAGTATTTTAAAAATGTGGCTGCATTTTGACTATGATCCATCACATGAGATCCAATGTGGAATTTTCCACTGTACCATCATGGTGATGCTCCAAAAGTTTTGGATCTTGGAGCATATCAGATTTGGATTATTATTTTACAGATTTTTCACATTACAAATGCTTAACCTGTATTACCCTTATTTTACCGATGAAGAACAGTGACTTACAGAGCATATGTAAGCTCATGCAGTTGGAAGTGGTGGAGCTGGGTTTGAACCACCAAATAGAGTCTTGTGCCTGCCATATTTTTTCTAGTATTAGCTATTAATATTTTCATTGAACAGAACTCTCCCAAGAGCATCTTTCACTGAATGTTTTCTAATTTTCTATTGTGTTTTTATACCAACTTCCTGATTAGAAAATTGTTGCACAGAAAGTTGTGTATAAAAGTGAATCCATCCCATGCCTGATGTTTGAGTGTTTACAGCCTACACTAACTACTATTTGGGCCTCCTTTATACAACTTTATATGTAAATTTTCCTTGGTTCTTTTAGCTGAAAGACTGGGAATTTTATATCTAAAGATGAATTTAGTAATATCTGTTGAGTTCTGTATTAACATCCTTTCCTTCATCTTAAATAAAATCAATCATTTATTTTTAGTTAAAAAAAAATAAAAGAGAAGGATGGGGAAGGAGGATAAGAACTCTTAACTTACTCTTCCCAGATCTCCTCATTGTGTGTCCTCTGGTTTTCTAGGGGAAGTGGTCCTTCTGGTGAATATGCCTGCGGACAGTCCTGCAGACCAAGGGCAGCACCTGCCTGATGGGAGGACAGCAACCCCCACCAGCACCTTCACCCAACAGGACATCAATGAAGGCATTGTGTGGTACAGGCACTCGGGAGCCCCAACCCAGAGTGACTCCTTCCACTTCCAGGTATCCTCTGTTTCCTGGCTTTTCTGAACTCTGCAGAAAGTCTTCACCCTCATTTATAAACTTGACCAATTTTCTACAATGGCCTGAAAATCATGTTGGGAAGAAGAAAAAAATGCAACTAATAGCATTAAGAGATTTTTTTTTAACTGTCTATTTAGATATATAGGTGGCTTCACAAGCAATCATCCACTCCAAAAAAAAAAAAAAAGTTTATGTTAAATAATGGCCAAAGTGTTCAGAAAAAAATCCTTCAAAATAGAAAAATCCTTTATGGGGGAAAAAATCTTATTTTTAAAAATGTTCTTGAAACATTCAACATCTTATTAATATCCTGGACTTATAGCCAAACTCAGTAGGTTTGAGTGTGAGTTTTGCCACTTTACTTGCCACTTTACAATTACTTGAGCAACATCCTTGTGCCTCAGGTTCTTCATTTGTGAAATAGAATTATTGAGAAAATTGAGTTAATACATACAAAGCATTTTTGAAAACTGCCTATCAAACAGTAAGCACTATGTAAGGATTTGTTACTGCCCTTTATAAAAATTGATAAAATACTTGATTGTAAGGAGACCTGGAGTAAGTTAATGAATGGATAATTATACTGGCTATATTCTACTATGAATATATTAGAAATTAATAATGAAAAGATAATAAAAAAATTTAAACCCCTTGGAATATTTTAAATAATCTCCTAAATAATTACTAGGTCTTAAAGGAAATCAAAGCAGTAAACTATTAAGAAATATTGATGAGGAAGAAATTAGTTATCAAAACTTAAATGATGTAGGCAAAATTATACTCAAAAGAAAATTGATGGCAGCTCTTATTATTGAGCAGTAAAGCATAAAAACAAATGGACTAAATATTTAACTCAAGAAGCTAGAGAACCACAATAGAAACCTAAGGAAAGTAAAAAGAAGGAATTGATAGAGACCAGCAGAGGGGTCGATTAATTATGAAATACTAGAAATTATAACAGTACAAAACCAGATGTTTAAAAAAAAGCAATGAAAATCAGACAAAACTCTGCTAGCACAGTTTGGAAATGAAAAAATTAAGCAAATACAAAGGAAAAAAGAATAAAAACAAGAATGTTTAAGCAGGATACAGATAAGAAGGTGACAGTGTCAGAGAAAATACATATGTTAATGATAATCAGCCAAAGCAGTGTCACCTCCAAGTCTGAGGTTTTCTTTTGTCTAGGATCCAGTTGGGAATAAACCAACCACAATCTCTCACCTTGTTAAAATTACCTCCGTTCTGCTTCTGACACCTGGTGTGTACATCTTCATCGCCTAATTTATATTGTGTAAAAGATGTGCTTTTCCAAAGAGTAGGTTGAGATAAATCTGGAAACCGTTAAAATGAGATTCTACTGAACACATTAAATGTCCATTGAACGAGCAAATGCTGTGGGTCCTTTGTCCTAGTTAACTTTTCATTGTTAGTACCTGGGGACTACTGCAGTCATCAGAGAATGAGCCAGAATGGAGGCAAAGACCTCAATCAAAAGAAGTCACCTCAGCAAACTAGAATCTGGGGACCTGCCTTTACCTCCTTGAGGGTCAGGAGAGAGAATATTATCAATGTGGCAGGTTTCCCTGGAAGGGGACTCTAAGCACCTGCTCAGAATGATATCTGATTGCTCTCACAAGTTGGTTGCTAAGTACAAAAACAAAATAAAGCAAAATGTGAAATAAAAATAAAAAATAAAGCAAAATGAAATAAAATTTTAAAATGAGAGTAAAAATGAATCAATTTTTTTAAAAAACTCAATGAGAATTTAAAACATCCATCTGAACATTATCACTTAGAAAGATGTTCCCTTCACACTTCTTGTGCAGAATTTGTTTAGAATTCCCATTTCAAATTACTTTCAAAGTGTGTTGGATAATATACTCAATAATGACAATATACATTTTTGGAAGTAGATTTGAAAATACAGAAAAAAAATAGCCAAAAGTCATTCAGAATCAGGTCTGGCAAGAAAAAGAGTGGTAATTATTTTTTTATTAAAGTGGATAGTAATTATGAAGGAATGCTCTCAGCTTTCTTAATGATTTGTGAACTTCCTCTGAAGGCAGTCCAAAAAGTGCATTTTAAACCCTGAGAGCACCTTTATTACAAGTATGAAACAACTCTGAGATTGTGTTCTCTTAGAAATAAAAGTTTTGGTTTGTTTGTTTTTAAAGTCTCAGTGTTTTATAGGCTTACCTCATATTTTGATTTGAAATACACAGACACTATAGCCATGTGCTAAAATAAATGGTTAGCAACTTTTCCCATTTATCATCTTAGTATCCCTAAAGGATTTTAAACTAAAAAAGATGCTGTTCTGATGATTCGTTTTTTTCTTCCCTTGTTTTTCTTTCTTTAAGGCAGGAAATGCAATATAATGAGTTGCATAGATTTAATTCCATTTTAATGTTGATGTGCTGTCATGAGCCATCAATGCATCCCATCTGTTACTTTGCATGAAAGATGGGATTTATGTAATACAAGTGGCATTTTAAAATAGAGACAGTCTAAGGGAGAGGAAAGCATGCACAATTAGTCATTTTTTTGGTGTGGGAAATAGCCCTAGTTTTGGTGTATTGGATCACATTGACACCTCCTCAGAGGATTTGAGATTTGAAAAAAAAAATCAATGTATTTCACTATCAGTGACTTTACTGGGAAGCCAGACTGACTCACTTGCCAGTAATATGCCCACATTTCACTACCTGCACATGCTGTTGTTCCTTTTTCTTCAAGAGATAGAGCTTTCCCCTTTCTTCATTTCCAAAAGCTTCCAAAGTAAGTCATCTTGGTCAGTGGAACTGATATAAAACCAACTAACAAATTAACCAATATTGGTTATTTGCATTTATTTATTTTTTATTTTTGTGCAGTGCTGGGGATTGAACCCAGAGCCTTGTGCATGTGAGGCAAGCACACTACCACTGAGCTACAACCCCAGCCCAGAAGACAACCTTTAAAAAGCAACTAATACAATGCTGAGCTCACACTAGATTATCAATGAATTATAGATATTAATATTATTTTATAACAACAATATGAGGAATCTCCTTGAAGACACATAGATATTCTGAAACTTGATCCCAGGCATGTGATGTGATCCAGATAAAGACTAAGAGTTTTCTTCCGTGAGCTGTAGCTGCTGTGTTGCCTTCTGTCTCGGAATTTGCACAACCCTGACTCCTATCATATGGAATTAATATAACTACACGTGGCCACACAGGGCTTAGCAGTTCTTATGATAAATGAAGGTGGAATAAACAGTGGAGACAAGGGAGAGTTTAAGGGGGCAAGAAGCAGCCTAGGAAAAGCATCATTTTTCAGTGGTTTTGAAACAAGAAAAAGTTTAATCTGTAACTACTACCCTAACTGTAAATGTTAATAATTTTGTTCTGCAAAAATGAGGCTGAGATTTGACATTGCTAGTCTAGGTATAGGAATCTATGATGAATAAAGATGAAAGGAAAGGAATAAAGATCACATGTTACATAATCATAATAATGCATTATGTAGCCATCCAGAATTATGTTTTCAAGAATGTTTAAGGAGATAGCAAAATATCACAGTATTTTATTAAGTAAAAAATTAGAATATAAAATTGCATACAAATTGAGATTTGTCTGCACAGTAAAAAAATTAAACTGAAATACCTCGATGTATTAATAATCACTCTTACTAGGTAGTGAAATTCTAGATGAGTTTTTATTTCTTTTTCATACTTTCCTGCAATTTTCAGAATTGCCTAAAATGATTGTGTGTCTTTTTTATAATCAGTAAATGATTAACAATAAAATATGAAGAACAGAATGAAAAGTGTAATGCAGGAATGTATAGGATGCAAAGACAGATGGTTTAAAGGGGGAGAAGCGAAACCCATGCAAGCATACTCTGACCAGCAGAAGATGAAAGGCTCACCAGGATGACTTTGCTTTTCAGGTGTCCAGGGCCACAGATGCTCAGGCCCACCTGGAGAGCCGCGTGTTCAACATTGCAATCTTACCGCACACGCCGGAGGCACCAAAGCTCTCTCTGGGAACATCTCTCCATATGACTGTGAGTCGGGTGGGAGAACTCATGGTGTACACTTGGAAGAGGCATGTGGTATGCTGCTGGGATTTGTGTCCTGGTTTTAAATGTGGTAGATTCTTGGCTCAGAAGGCAGACCCCAGAGCCAACAATAGCAGCCCCAAAAACACATTTCTCATTGACTTGAAAAAGAAACTTAAAATTCCCAGGGTGAGAGGAAGATTATGTGGAGTGCATCTTGACCTCCCATCCATTGCCAATGTCCTTTCTCTAGCATCCCAGACAGTTACAGGATCTCTCCTGGAGTGCTTAGAAGAAATTTCAGGCTTATCTCCATGTCATTAACACCATTTGAGTATAATTATTCAACCAGTTATAGCACCACCTAGCTGGAGAAACTGTTATTTTTCAAAAGCTCTATGAAAAGTTATCCTTGCATTGTAAAACATCCTAGAGAAGGTGGTGTCAGTGCTGCATCCAGAGAGATAAGTAGCAATTCATTACCCAAGAGAAAACTTGGTGACAGGTTGCAGAATGGAGAGGTGATGTCAAAGGGACATGAAAGACACAATGAGAAAGGATATGACTGTGGAAAAATTGCAAATAGTCCCATGAGGCTGAAGAAATGAGAAAGGCAGATATGAAGAATAGTGGAAATATGGAGGTAACTGCACCAGATCACAAAATGGCCTGTGTGCTGTGTGAGAGGAACGTGATGCATAGAAAGATCTGAAGGAAGGTGTCAGCTGCATTGTCCCATGAAGCTCAGTTCAGACGATTAGCAACTCCACTATAACTCTGTGTCTAGAGTAAGTGGGATGCCAGAACCACTCTTCCAGACAGCCACAAGCATGCAAACCCTTGTAAATCAGCGACTATGAATCCATGTTTTAGTTAGTGCCCACATAATTACACTCCAAAGTAGTGTATCAGCCTTGAGCCACAACAAAAAGAGTAGTGATAGTTTCAGAAATTATGGGTCTAGGGCATGACAGAGACATAAAGGGGAAAATAGAAAGTTTTTAATGAGTAGCTGGTATCGGCATTTCCACCATAAACCGTAATTTAAAGAAATCATAATTCAGCAGCACTATCAAGTCTATAATTCATCATTCTGACTGGAGGAACTTGGATCCAAATTTTCTTCAAACTGTAAAGAAAACTGTGCATACACATTTCTTGCCAAATGCTAATGCAGTGTTATTTTGAGCATAGACAGGAAAAACAGGCCAGGAGCCATGAAGATGGTGCCGTTCCGCTCTGCTGCTGAGCACCTCTGAAGAGACTTGTCAAGTTGATTTAACCTTTAGGGTCTCAGGTTTCATGTTTGCAAATTAGATCCGTCCATCTGAAACACAGGATATGTCAAAAGTTAGTTTACCATAAAATTCGATTAGCTTGCTATTTTGTTACTTACAATATACAGAGTGTATATCTATTTGATATTAATTAGGGCTATTGCTGTAGGACATGCTTGTAATCGGTAACAAAAAACACATTCTCAGTTCAGTAGTTTAGACTCATCTAAACACATAGGTACTGCACATATTTGCTAACTACATTGTGAACTTATGTGGTAGATACATAGTATAAGCGTGCATGTGCGCGTGTGAGCACACACACACACACACACACACACACACACACACACACATAAAAATAGGAGTCTACCTCCACATGGATTCATCCAGGCATTCATTCATAAATACATTTGATCTCCTGGTTTATGCCAAGAGATGTGGAAGACATAGAGATTCAATGACCTTAAAGTGGAGCCTCTGTTTCAGGAACTTTGAGTCAATGAGGAGACAACTAAATAAGCAGTGATACTACAGTGATAAATGCAATGACATGGAAGCCAATGGGAGGGCACCTAGTGCATGAGAGCACGGGAGAGCATCACAGAAGCTTCCTCTAGGAGAGGACTGAGCTGGCTAAGTGGAAATGAGATCTCAAGATCAGGGTTCTGGAGATCTCAAACTTATGCCTGTAATACCAGCAGCGTGGGAGGCTGAGGCAGGAGGATCACGAGTTCAAAGCCAGCTTCAGCAAAAGCAATGTCCTAAGCAACTCGGTGAGACCCAGTCTCTTAATAAAATACAAAACAAGGAATGGGGATGTGGCTCAGTGATAGAGTACCACTGAACTCAGTCCCTAGTATCCCCCTCCTCTAAAAAAGAACCCACCCTAGGATTTCTAACTCAGCAGGTCTGACATAGAGTGAAGAATCTGCATTTCTGACAGGTCCCCAGGGGATGCTGTTTGCTGCTGAAATCTCCACCTGTAAATAACCTCAGATAGAGAGTAAAAAAGGAGAAATTTACCCAGGCAATAGGAGCAGCAGATGAAAAAAACTGGAGAAACAGGAGAACATGACATATTTGGGGAATGATAGGTGGTTCAGTGGGCTGGCACATAAATCCCTAAGTGTAAAAGCAGCAGGAAATGACAGTAAGATCATGGAGAACCTTATGATAAAATTTCCATTTTGTCCCCAAAGACTGTTGGTGTTGAAGGATTTATAGCAGAAAAGTGCCATGACCAGATTTTTAATGATTGGCTGTGGAAACTCATTCTGGCTAGAGGGTAGAGAACATTCTGGATGGGGGACATACAGACAACAAGTAGACTATTGCATTCACCTAGAACAAGAGAGGTTAGTTGTATGAACCCCGTGCAGTGGCAATATGAGTTAAAGGTTAGGGAGATCTTGAAAAGTTACTTATACACCCATGTTCATGGTATAGCATTATTCACAATATCCAAGAGGTGGAAGCCATCTAAATGTCCACTGACAGATAAATGGACAAAGAAAACGTGATATATAAATGTTGTCTATACATGACATATAAAGGTGATACATATGTGTGTATATCTTTATTATACACATATGCTCATACCTGGAATATTATTCAGCCTTAAAAAGGAGGAAATCCTGTTATATGCTACAATATGAATGAACCTTGACATTAGGCCAGTGCAATAAGCCAGTCGCAAAAAAGACAGATAACATCTGGTTACACTCGAATGAGGTCTATATAAGTAGTCAATCTCTTAGAGAAAGAAAGTAGAATGGTGGTTGCCAGGGGTGAGAGGGAAGTGGGTTAGGGAGAAAAGGAAAGTTTCTCAGTGGCTATATTTTTAGTTTTACAAGATGAACAATTTCTAGTGATCTATTGTATAATGTGCACATAGTTGGCACTGCTGTACTGAACACTTAAAAATGGATCTGGGCGCTGTGGTGCATGCCTGTAATCCCAGTGGCTTGGGAGGCTAAAGCTGGAGGATTGTGAGTTCAAAGCCAGTCTCAGCAATTTAGTAAGGCACTTAGCAACTTGATGAGACCCTGTTTCTAAATAAAATATGAAAAAAATATGGGGGTATGGCTCAGTGGTTAAACACCCCTGGGTTCAATCCCCAGTACCAAAAAAAAAAAAATTGTTACAATGGTAGAAAAATTAAGGGAGAGATAAAGAAAGGTTTAGAGGCACTGTAGCAAATTATATATGGAAGACTCTTGTGTCTGCTACTCTTATGGAATCTTCATGAATCAACCCCAACTCATCTCCATCAAACATTAATACCAAAGTGCCATTTATTAAGATTGGGGATATGGGTGGGCGTGAGAACTTCAATTTGGGGGTCTCCTTATTGAGGGTGTTCTGAAGCATAGTGAGTGAAAGTGAAAATGATTGATGTGAATTCACAAATATGGAGGGACACAGATTGCAGGGACTCAACAGACCACCGTAAGAACTTGACTTTTGTTCTGATTGCAAAGCCCCTGCAGGGTGTGGGACACAGATCCAGTGTCCTTTGAAAAGGTATGACACTGGCTGCTGTGCTGAAATAGACTGTGGGAGAGGTGAAAGGACATTCAGGAGGCCATATGATCCAGGGGAGAAGCTGGCTCTGAGCAGGGTGGTGGCAGTGGAGGTAGGGAGAAAGATTTGGATTCTGGATATATTCAGAGATATATGGGTATTATGAAAACCATTATTCTGCAATTTTCTTTGGTTGACAAATGTGTCATAAAAAATGTCTTCCGTAACGATTTCTGTGAAATTTAATCTCTCATTTCTTACTATGTTTAATTGATAAATATTGAACATTTTAAATAGCCAGTATTAAAATTGATCATATTTTTATATGTCTCAACCTCAATATTGCTTTCTTCACAGAATCAAGTCCTCACTTTTTCTACCCAATGTCTATTTCTATTAGTAGAGAAAAATCTATAAATTCTAAAATAGAATATCTGTTGTCTTGGCTGGAACTTATTTCCCTTTTCCATAGACCTATATCCCTGATAATTCTCTTTTCTTACCACTTTATTGTTTTAGGGACATCTAGATTTTCAAAAGTATCCCATGATACTCAGAGAATTTTAGGTTATTACAATGGTTTTGAGATTGCAATTTTGCAAACAGAACTGAACAGTGTGCCAAACCTTTACTTTTTTCCTTGTATTCATGCCCACATGTGTCTGCACACATGAATGGGCTGTAAACACCTTATATAGGGCATATATTTTTAAATTTGTTGTCCTTACTTGTTTTATTTTAGGTTGAGAGACCAGCTGCTGTTTGCAATTATAATTTTCCTTGCTCATTGCATTCCAGACCTGAGCAAGGACCTGAAATATGACTCTTTACTTATGGGGGGATTGTCTTAACCTGCAGATGCCGCCTCTCCCTGGGACAAGTATGCCTTGGGGACAATTACAAAGCAACTGCAACCTTCAATCTTTTTATGGTTAAAAGAAGAGCACCACACCCTCCCCTAGGAACATTACTGAGCCCCACTTAATCTTTTTCTAAATGGGGAAATTCCTTCTGGAAGAAGCAGAGCTTCAAAGAGCAGAAGAGCATGTCACACCCCAGCCTACCTCTAGGGTCAGTTAGGAAGAGCCTGCAACCAGCAGGATATTATGTTCTAAGACAGCATGCATGACTCGGTTGAAGGTCCATGCTCAGACTGGTTTTCCCTTTTATTCTCTCTATACTGATTTTGCTGCCACTGTCCCCAGTCATTGCCTACTTGTGGGAGTCTGAATCTTTCCTTCTTTTTTTGAGTGTTGCCTCCTGTTGGTGGGTCATGGATGTGCACAGGATAGTGAAAGTAACACACATACATGGGGCCCTCTGATTAATATTGCTTGACCCGCTCATTGAGTCCTGAAAGCTAGAGGAGAAGAGCAATATCTAGTTCTTTTGCATACTAGAATGAACACAAAGAGAAATGTTGGCTATGATTATAAGCTTTAATAAACAAATAGCTCTGAATGCAAATAGCGAGCCTCTTTTGGTGTTTGAGGCCCTATTCATCTTTAGCCCTTTGAAAACAGAAAGCATCACAAATTCACAAAACTGAGGTTTGGGGTAATGCTCTGAAGACACTCCTGGGGCCAAAACTTAAACCTCCCAGTTGGGTCGTCAGAACTTCTTGCCAGATTCAACCTTAGCCCATTAAGTTAAAAGAGCAAAGATGTGGAAGCCAGATGGAAACAGTAGAATACCCAGCTGTGGAGCCTCTTTTAGACTCAATGTGTTCCCGTGCAAGCTCCGCCTAGGGAAAAATAACCATATTGGGACCCCCCACAGCATATACTGACATAAACCTGAGGTCAGGGGCAGAGGAGAGAAGAGCCAGGGGGCTAGATAATCTACAAAGGTCTCTGTAACCCTGGAGCTTACTGAGGCTGGGACAAATCTGTAGTGCAAGACACCAGATCCTTTTGGACTTCTGGAGGAAACTCTATTCAGTGTGACTGATTTAAAAGCCCAGAGGGAATTTGCTTTTGTTTTCTTAATAAGGTTTTGGGGGTTTGGTTTAGTTTTCATCACACCATTTTTCCTTCTCCCTTTCTGAACGTTTTTTCAGGCTCGAGAAGATGGCCTGACTGTCATTCAGCCTCATGCCCTGTCCTTTGTGAACTCGGGGAGGCCCAGTAGAAAGATTATATACAATATCACTAGACCCCTGCATCCAAATCATGGTAAGATGTGCAGTAAATGATCTTTTGGGAGATGCTATCGCCTACCATTTGTGGACAAATCTTAAAAATTCTGTAGCTTTTGCTGCTTGGGTACATGGAGATACTGATAGGGGTTTTAGGAATAAGAGTTATTCATATCCCATGCACCTGTCCTCTAGTTTAGAACTAAGAGAGAAAGATAAAGAATAATGTGTTGGCTTTGGCTTGGACAGAGCTGATTGGAATACATGGTGCCACCGGATTGAGCAATCTCTGCCATGACCTGATAGAACCTGGCGCATATAGGCATTGTCTGTAGGGACCAAGCCTGCCCCGAGAGGGCAAGCAGACCAAAATGAGCAGGTGCTAAGAGCAAAGAAGTCTGCCAGGGCCCAAAGGCTCCTCCTTTCATAGGGAACACGGGAATGCAGAACTGGAGTCAGAGGAGAAGTGAGCCCCTTCCAACAGTCTCCAGCACTCAGATTTCTTCACATTGAGCTCACATAATGAGCTTGTGTCCAACAGAGGTGTGCTGTCCCTCCCAAGAAGGAGACCAGCTTTTATGACAGTTCTGCTCCTTCTCTGACACTGTTCTCCCGACACCAACCATGGTCCCTGAAGGAAGCCTCTCCCATTACCAAGTTCCCAAAGAAAAGTAAAAGTCTGAAAATTAAACTCCATTACCTTTTGATAAAGTCCAAAGCCATTTAAAGTCTAAAAGTCACCCTGCCCTTTTTTTTTTTTTTTAATCTGCTAAGTTATCATAGAAATTCTCCCTATAGTGTCAGACCAGAAGCTGGGCCATCTTCTTCAGAATGGCTGTTGGTCTCAGCCCCACAGAAAGTTCAACCCCCAGCCTCACATGTGCCTTCCTTTTAAAGAATAAGATATGAAATATGATGAAAGCATTAGCTCTGTACCTGCAAAATTTATGAACAGTCAAACCTGCAGCCCCTAAAGCATTGAGCATAGGCCAAGTGAATGCTGCAAATCCAGTTCTTAGAATAATCGAGATTCATGTTACTGTTGCCAAAGATCATCGCAGAGACTAAAGCATTTTCTAAAGAGAGGAGGGAAGACGAAGGAAAAATCTCTTTACAGCCTCATTAGAAAATCATTCTAGGTTGGCCTCTCAGCAACCTTGACCTTTGAATGAAACTCAGCTGGGAGGGTCTCATAGTTATAGTACCCTTTCTGTGACTTAAGGAAAATTACGTGGTCCAAGCTCATGAGGGGCAGTAGTTTGCCTCTTACTATGTTTTATGTTCCATGAGTCCTACTTTGGGTTTTAGATTTGCCCTTTTCTTGAATTACAAGAGAACAGTACACCAAGAACAACCAGAGAGAGTAACTGGACCTGAAGGATAAAAGACTCCTACCAATGAGCAAAGCTGGCTTTGTGGCTCTGACCATCTTGTCAGCCTTGAGAGTTACTGGGGGTGCTTATGCCCATTTCTTCCTCCCCAGGTATCATCGAGCACAGGGACCAGCCTCACTCACCCATCCGGTATTTCACACAGGAAGATGTTAACCAGGGGAAAGTCATGTACCGCCCTCCCTCTGCAGCTCCCCACCTTCAGGAGATCATGGCCTTCTCCTTTGCTGGTAATGCTCTCTCTCTCCCCTCTGCCTTAAGGCAACTACACTGCTCTCTGTGGATCTTTATGACTGACTCACTCCAACTCTTCCCACAGTCCTCTGGACAGTTTGGTGTGACACTACTTTATGGCCATTGAAGATAGTTTGTGACCTGTCAGCCACTATATGCCTTTGTCTCCTCCATTCTACCTTTTCTTTTTCCCATTAATTCACACATGTTGGCTTACTTTCAGTAAGCTTTAATTTTGTGGCTCTTATGTGCTGATCACTAAGTGAGGCCTTGGAAATACAGTGGTGAGCAAAGAGAGGTATGGATCTGTTCTTGGACTGCTTGGAGATTTAGGTATGGAGACAACTAGATAACAACATCCCAGTAATGAATGATTAATTGCAAACTGAGACAAGAGCTCAGAAAAGGAGGAATAATGTTCCATAGTAGAATTAAACATTGCAAGACTTGACCTAGTTAGTGGGCTCCACGGAGGCTGTTCAAGGAAGATATTGACAGTGGAAGGATGGATAGATGTTACTTTAAGGCTGTGTGTGCATAGAGGTGATGGGGGAAGCATTCCTAAAAGAAGGGCATGTGCCCTGTGTGTAGAAGCCCTGGGAAGGAGAGAACATAATAGGATTTAAGAGTCAATGATCCTGTAATGTGGTGAGTGAGTGTGCAGAGATGAGCTTGGTGGAGGAAATGGGCCAGACCTTATAGGTCCTGGAAGCCTATAAGGACTTGAATCTTAATTCCAAGACTTAGAGGATGCAGTGGAGGTTTGATGATACAGGGGATGGCTTTTATAAGGAACTTTTTGTCTATAGTGATGTAAATGCACTTGACAAGGAAGCCAAAATAAATAGGTATGTGAGTAAGGGAAATCCAGGTAGGAGGGTCCTGCAGTACCTCAGTGAAGGCTTCAGAAGCAGGGGTGGAGAATGCAGGTGACCTTCTGCGATTAATACCAGGAATTGATAGAAGACACATTTTTAAACATTGAGTGGAAAAACAATTGAATTTTTCATTAAAGCTAGCACATGCCTTTCTGCTAAACCATAACAGCCTTTAGTCTTATCACGGTGTCTCTTCCCTTGACCCAGTAATCAAAGCTGCCGACTGCAAAGTTGCAAGTCCCTACCCCTAAATATTGCTATGGCTTGGAATGACTTGAAAAATCATTGGGAGCTTGTTTCTTTATTTCTAAAATCTATGCACCACATAAAATGCTGAATATAGGCTATTACTTTTATATAGTAGATTTATTCAAATAGAACAGCTGGTGATTTCTATGGTAAGTTGAACATGGATTAAATAATCCTGGAGTTTCTTTTTTGATTATGGTAAACATATGAAGTGATATTTGCCACTATTTAATACAAGTTCAATTGTCTAGAAAATGTTAACTCCTTAATTAGATTGAAAATCTCTAAGGGCATGGAGAGGCCCTTTCTCTGAGGAGTAACCCTGATGTTTAGTAACTGGGTAACTAATAGCCCATGAAAATGTTCATGGTTCTCTAGCCCCCACTTTACAAGAACTACTTTATAAGAAACTCAAGATATCCTGGGATTAGAGGAAAAGAAAACATGCCAGCCATGGTTGAAGTAATTTCCAAATCTGTTATACTTGCCTTAGTAGCTAGAGTCTCTTTGGGAGAGCAGAGTCCTGTCTTGTATAATCTATGGGATAAATGCCACAAGATAAATCTCTCTCACAGTTACAGTGTGTAAATCAATGTCCCAAGCATCACTCAATTCTACAATGGAATTGACCCACCTGAGAGCACTGTCAGTGATATACGACATCACCCACATTTGCCAATTTGTAGGATTTTATGTACTGATAAAATTGGATCTGAATGAATGTATTATAAATCACTCTAACTGCTGTGATACAGAATTATTCCACTATGTGGTTCTTTTTGCTACTTAACATTAATGTTGGCATCATTAAATTTGACATAACATTAGCGAATGACCTACGTAGATGGTTCCTCAAGTCAGAATCATCTAGGTTAAAACAATTTTTACCTTCCTAATCTCTGTCATATATTTTGTGCCTTTTCCATGTATCCATGATTCCAAAATATATTATATAAGGATTTTCCTCTCACTCTTTTCAGGTCTCCCAGAATCAGTGAAATTCCACTTCACGGGTAAAGATTTTAATCTCAATTTTATTAGACAATAAGACTTTTTCTTCTCTTATTATTCCTTTCTTTTTGCTCTTTTCCTCAATACTTTTACCTATTTTCTAAGAGCTACTTAAAAGTTGTGTGGCTTTCTTTCTACAACAAGTTTCTTTTAAAATAATCACATGGTTAGTTACTTAGTAATTGCTTAATTTTGTATTCATAGAAAATGTCAACCAAGGATGCTAAAGATTAATGTTATTTAGGCCCTAATTCAACTTATCCTAACATTTGTTAAAAAAAAGAGAGCTGATAGTGGTTAAGATCTTAGACTCTGAACCAGATGGCCTGAAGTTCAACCTACTCTGGGAAAGTTTCTTAACCTCTCTGTGCCTGAATGCCTCATCCATAAATCGAGTTAATAATAATAATCATAGTAATAATAATAGCATAGATAAGGACCCCAGAAAAACGATTGGTCACAATCATCCCTGTACACTCCGTTGATGAGTCAGGGTTGTATGTAGTCTTGAATAAAGCCTCTCATTGAGTGCTTTGACACTGGAGGGAAGAGTCTTATGACTCAGAGCATGAGCTGAGAAGTCTGTGCAGAAGACCTTAGCATCCTCTTATAGTTAATACTGCATTCAAATCTGAGCTTCATCCGTACAAGAGAGTCTTGACTTCTATGCTGGGGCAACAAGTTTTCTTGTTTAAGTTTGACTGAGGGTGGTTGGCTATAAATAGTGTCTTAAATAACCATTTAGATGGGATTGACTATTCCATTACAATCGCCCATCCATGTGTCCTGTTGTATTTCATGGAGGGAGAAGTCTTGGTAGGACAGAAAATCACTTATGTCAAACTCTCAGACCTTTCTGTCTTCTTTGACGGTTAAAAATCGCACTTGCATCAACAGTTTCAGTGTGTGTCATTGTTGATGTGACCCTAAAATCAGCTCATTTCTAATGGCAGGCCCCTATGTAATCCATGCAATCAGAAATAATATATGATACTTTTTTTTTTACCTTTTTTGAAACAACTTACAATAAATATAGTCTTATTTAATCATTTTACAAGAATAAGTACTATCTTTAGCATTTTAAATGAGGGGAAACTGAAGGTCATTAGGAGTAAATAATCTGCCCAGGTTTCTACCACTGGTGGATTAGAACTGGCATTTAATACAAGTTTCTGACTCACAGTATGGGGTAATTAGTTTCACCTGATGTGTATGTGTTGCTAATGGAAACTAAGTGTCATGGTAGGTGAAGGGTTAACAATTAATTTCTCTAGGACTTTAAGTTAAATGATCCTTGAACCCTTAATACAGATTTAATGGGATGGACTTTGGGCTGACCTTAAATTATCATGTTTTCTTCCTAAGATTCTTTATTTATCTTTTTTTTTTTTTTTTTTGAGAAAAACTTGGATTCTAGTAGGAAGGAAACCATCTCCTTCAGGAGAATTTTGTGAGAGAAAATTGAAAATTGGACAGATAATGAACTACGGCTGTAGCCAGTCCAAACCTGACATTAGCCCATGGAATGAGGGAGAGGAGCTATTTCAGTTAATCAGCTATGATGAGAAGGAACGCTGATGTCCCTGAGCTGACTGGCTTCACGACACATGCAGACACTGTGGAACAGTGTGTGTTCTCTGCAAGGAACACACGGGAGGCATTTAACCCCAACAGGCAGTTTGACTACTTCTTAGGGAAATCAGAAACATTTCTTAAACAGAGGGCTAGACATGGAATTGCTAATATTTTCATTGTAAGTCCTTACGTTTGCTTGTGAAACACTGCACCAGCATGATATATTTTCTAGTTATATAACATGAACCAGAAAACAGCTTTCTTCCACTTATACAGGCAAGGATATGCCTCAGTCACACGATGTGATATGGCCAAGTTTTAGGGCCTTTCCTATCCTTCTCTATAAAATAAAGATGTTGATGTCCCTGTGCTTCTTCCCACTTAGAAGCAAAACCAATTTAAATCATAGCAAATAAAATATAATTATATTTCACAATTATTTATTTTTACTTAGATTCCAGAGATCTCAGAGTCCTGCAACCACTGAAATTTATAAAAATAAGTTTGTGTTTTCCCTCCAAATCGTCAAAAGTTAAGAATCATCTGTCCCTATCTTTGATCATCCAGAGAGAAGGAGACTTAATGTAAAACAGAAGCAGTAGCAATAATTTTGACCCTCAACTGAATGTCCAGAAACTGCATTTCTGTGCGGATGATGTTCTCTCTCCTTCCACAGGGCTATTTCTGGACTTTTCTAGGACATGGAGTATACCTTATAAAATCTAACTGTATTTTCAGATCTGCCTCACGAATGAGAAAAATCTAAAACTTGAATGGCATCATTAATAGGAGTTAGTGAGCATTGCTTAAGAAGGCTTAAAGGAATCACTCTGCTTCAGAAGGAATTGGATTCCTACTGACTTGCTACTAAGTCCAAAAGAAAGTGAGGAAGGAAACCAGTTTCTTATAACCAGGTCATCTGCAAGCATATCACACATTTTAAAGCATGAACAGTGCAGTTCTCTCAACAGCCACCATAGATGAACACTCTGATGGGCTGATGATGCTGACTTCCCTCCAGACCAAGCTTTGAGAGAGGGGAGGGCATTACTGAGAGAGAAGAAAGCAGAAATAAGAGTCAGTTTTGCCTTGTTTCCCTTAGGGGATCAGGTTCACTTGGATGGAGGGAACCCAGGGAAATAAAATTTAAGGTCACTGTTTTGCTCACAAAGATGTCTTCTATTTATGGCATTGTGCATAATGACCAGGTAAAAATGGATCTGCCTACTTTCAAACAATTGCCATACCTTCAAACAGATGCCAAAATCGTTTTATTTCTGTCCTTTCAAAAAATTCTTTTCTAATGAAACAAAAATGTGTTTTTTTTCTAAAAGAGAGTTCTTAAAAGAAAATATTTTTTGGAATATTAGGGAAATTAATTTAATAAAAAAAAATTTCCACAAGTAAAAGCCTTTACCAGCATCACCTAAGAGTGCATATTTTGTGTTACTTTCCACTAACATTTGTCAAAATCAATTTGCTATGAAAATATTCTCTTAAAATGCCTTTGTACTTAAAGTCCTTTATCCTTTTTCTTATCCATAGAAAAGCTTTGTTAGAATAGCTCACAATATCTTGCTTATTTTACTTTTCCATCTATAAGGATCTCTTCATTGTTAAGGTAATCTTAAAATGCTTCTAGCTTTGTATTTGTGGAAACAGCCTGAAGATGACTAGACTACAAGTTGATTAACACTTGTTTGCACGCGTGTGTGTACACCTACCAGTTTCAGATGGAGAGCACACTAGTCCAGAGATGGCCCTCACCATTCATCTCCTTCCCATGGATGGACAACCGCCAGCGTTCCAGGTCACAGCTCCCGTGCTCCAGGTCAGCCCAGGAGGCCGCACTTCTCTAGGTAAGAACTGGGAGCCTGAGAGAAATACGTCTCTGGAGATAGGATTGTGTTTCAGCAGCAGTTCCACTTGAAGCTTCTTGATGGTCGCCAAAAAGCAGTGGCCTCCTCTTCCTGAAGTTCTGAGCATTTACACCTATATCCTCTGATACCACCAGTGATGAGAGTCAGTCAGAGTTCCATTACAGCAGATGTGAAGATTAAACACACAGGAAATGCTGAAGCAATTGTAGAAAGCAAGTTTTATTTAAAGGATAGAACAGAGACTTCTTTATACATTTTAGAATTCTTTTGTTCTCATGCCCTCCTTCTCCCCTTATCTTGCCTCTCTCCTCTCCTATCCTGCATTTGTGACCAAATGGTGGGGCAAATAGTGGAGTGATCCAAGGGCTGAAGGAAGCCACCTAGGGGTATGGGCAAGAAGGGACCAGCCCTGGAAGCATTAATTAACAACTCCTACAACTTCCTGAAGGGGGAAACAATTCCTGGGGCAGTTTACCTTTGCAACAGGTTGGAGGAGGAAGGGGAAGGGCTTTGGAGATGGGAGCATGTGTTTCTTTTTCTTTCCAACCATCCTCCATCTTCCAGATGGGACCCAATTATTTATTATCTGCACTGACTGTCCTTCCTGCCCAGCCAGCCTCACTTCCTCCTGCCCATTCTTATGCAAATAGAAGCAGCATAGAGAGAATGAAGTACACCCTTGGAAAGCCACCACTTGTGATGGAATGCAACCCTGAATTTATTCCCCAGTCACCAGGAGTTTGATTTGTTTCCTTCACTAAAATATAAAGTAACAGAGCAGAGAGGAGAATGGAGGGGAGTGGGTTTCAATAACTACTCTTGTTTTTTTTTTTTTTATTTAGAAAGTGAGGAGGAAGAGGAGAAATGACAGATCACAATAACCTTCAGAAGTTGTGAGAAATTAGAGTCAGCCCAGTTATTTCGTACATATTTTTATTTAGTTTTTAGTATACTTACTCTTTAGGGGTTTATGTATTCCTCTACCAAGGACAAACAGTAGACAATAATTTTTGTTAGGTATGCTCTGTAGATCCTTATGCAGTTTCTCTGGATGGCTTCTGTCCCAAAATTAATTTTCCTGTTTTCTCCATGTGGGTTTTTAGCCAAAAGTTGTCATCGAATTCATAAACAAGCCATTAAACTAAGATAAATGTCACTTTTACTCTTATCTTCACTTTCATGATGGGCATAGCAGCTATCATTAAACTTGGCTTTTCTGGTAGAATCAGAAAAATAACAAAAGAAGAAACCATGATAAGCAAAAATAGTTTATGGAGTATTTCCTGAAAGAAAACCTACCTCAGCTGGTCAGGATCAACATTCTCATGGCCTTCCTCTGTGCATGCCCTCATTTGTATGGAAGAAAAAAAAGTATTCTGAATTCAGAACTGCCTACTTGTAAATGAATTTTGGAAGAACCTACATGATACAGTTTGTGAGTAGACTGTGCTATTAGTTTTCATTCTTGTACTGGATTGGAATTAAACAGCACTTTTTTCACATTTTTTTATTTGTATATGACAGCAGAATACATTATAATTCTTATTAAATATATAGAATACAATTTTTCATATCTCTGGTTGTATACATAGTATATTCACACCAATTTGTGTCTTCATACCTGTACTTTGGATAATAATGATCATCACATCATTAATACCCCATGCCTCCTCTCTTCCCCTCCCACCCCTCTGCCCTATCTAGAGTTCATCTATTCCTCCCATGCTCCCTCTCCCTATCCCACAATGAATCAGCCTCCTTATATCAAAGAAAACATTCGGGCATTTGGTTTTGGGGGACTGGCTAACTTCACTTAGCATTATCTTCTCTAATTCCATCCATTTACCTGCAGATGCTATGATTTTATTCTCTTTTATTGCTGAGTTATATTCCATTGTGTATATATTGCCACTTTTTTTTTTATCCATTCATCTATTGAAGGGCATCTAGGTTGTTTCCACAGTTTAGCTATTGTGAATTGTGCTGCTATAAACATTGTTTTGACTGTGTCCCTGTAGTATGCTGTTTTTAAGTCCTTTGGGTATAGACCAAGGAGAGGGATAGCTAGGTCAAGTGGTGGTTCCATTCTCAATTTTCCAAGAAATCTCCTTACTGCTTTCCATATTGGCTGCACCAATTTGCAGTTCCACCAGCAAGTGTATGAGTGAACCTTTTTCCCCACATCTTCACCTACACTTATTGTTGTTTGTATGCATAATAGCTGCTATTCTGACTGGAGTGAGATGAAATCTTTAAGAGTGGTTTGATTTGCATTTCTCTAATTGCTAGTGATGATGAGCATTTTTTCATGTATTTGTTGATTGATTGTGTATCATCTTCTGCAAAGTGTCACTTCAGGTCCTTGGCCGATCTATTGACTGGGTTATTTGTTTTTTTAGTGTCTAGCTTCTTCAGTTCTTTATATACCCTAGAGATTAGTGCTCTATCTGATATGTGAGGGGTAAAGATTTGCTCCCAAGATGTAGGCTCTCTGTTCACCTCACAGATTGTTTCTTTTTGATTACAGATTTAGCTGCAGCCTGGCCTGTCGCATTCGTGTATAGAGTATGCAGTTGTCACTGTACCCACTCTGCCTCACCATGCTTTGTTCTCCTTGCTGCAGGCCTCCAGCTGGTAGTGAGAGATGCTGAGACAGACCCTGAAGGACTCTCCTTCGACCTCCGGAAACCTCCAAAGCATGGTGTTCTGCTTAAGCTTATGTCTGGGTTCCAAGAACCCATGGCCACAGGTAGCTGCATAGTACTTGCCCCTCCTGGGAGGTGTTTTGCTCTACAATTGGTTTTATGTGAAAAGAAGTGAAGTGGCTCTGTGGGATACACTGTGAGGAGAGACTGCCTTTCATGTTTCATTCACTGGCCTGGTATTAGACTTCTTCGCCTTCCACTCCCACTCCTCATCCCTCATCTGCCCCAGCCCACCCTGGAAACTGTGAACCTGCTTCCTCAGGTTGTAGGTGAAATGGGCAGACTTCTAAAGCTTGTAAATGCATTTCATCACCACCATAGGCATGTCAGCTGCAAGCGGGCACGGCTTGCTGTGCGGCAATAGTTCCTGTAGCTTCTCCATGAAGATGAATTTGTCATACTGTGGTATGCGCATCTCACTATGTGTTTAGCACTGTGACTTTGATAGCATTAGCAACACGTGTCTTCATAAAAAAGGGGGAACATATTTTTGAAGTATTACCTAAGCAATGTAATAGACCAGCTTTTAAGAAACACATGAAAGTACAAAGAACACAATTGAAATCTACTTTTTAATAGTTCATATCAAGTCTAGTGTTATTTCTTCCAAAGTGGTCTCCTTGAAATGTCATTTTATTCCAACCATCTGTACTTTCTCAAACCTTGATATGGCTCCTTTTAGAGATATAGTAATGCTTGCTTCTGAATATCCCTGGTAAGAGATATTATTAATATCTCTTGCCCTTGAAGGTATATTGAATTTTAAGAACTACCACCAGCATGTGGGCATCACAGAGGAAGACTTTAAAATTTTACTAAACAAATGCAGTGCCATTAGAACAGATATGAACCACCCAAAGGGAGTACTTTAGGGGTATTTTGGTCACTGTCTTGTTTCTTTAACATCACATGTCACCTATTCTGTGTAATTAATTTATAAGGTCTAAAAACACTTGTAAAAACTTTTATTTCCTTTCTCAGGCATCACACCACTAGTACCAGTAAAACACAGTAGCAAACTGTTGAAGAGAAAGGCTTCTTAGAATATGAACACAGAATGAGTTGATTTTTCCATCTCATTATATAATACTAATTATTAGAGCCGAAAATAACTTCCAGGAAGACTGATTCCTTGGCTGTGTTCTGTGGGCTCATTAGAGCCATGGCACTTAGAGGCACTTGTCATGAAAAGGGTTCCATGACCAAACAGGTTTGGGAACCTTTAATATTTGTATATTAACGTTTTAAAACATTATTTAAAAACTCAAAGTCCAGCAGGTTAAAACATAAATTCTAAATTCTATTCAATACCATTATATATGTGAACTTGAAGCTTTCTTCCCACATCTGTCTAATCTGTTATGAATTCGTACTCTATGCAGTTTGAGTTTCAAATTTCAAGTATATTTTTCAATTTTTAATTTAAGAAATTTTTATACCCTCAATTAAATAAAGATCTCTTATAGGGCCATCAAGCTTAATCTGTTAGTTTTTTTTTTTAATTTCAGTATCAGGATTAGATTCCAGAAGGGGCTGTCATAAAAAATACAGGTTTGTTCTTTTTCTTTCCTTTCTTATTTATTTATCAGCATTGGGTGTTAAACCTAGAGATACTGTACTATTGAGCTACAAACCCAGTCCTTTTTTCATTTTTACTTTTTCTTTTGAGAAAGGGTGTCACTAAGTTGCCCAGACTGGTCTCAAATTTGTGATCCTCCTGCCTAAGCCTACCAAGTAGCTGGGATTACAGGTGTGCACCACTGTGCCCAGCCTGTCATTTGTTTTTCTGTAACTAGGAGTCATCAGGGAATCTTCTAGAGGTAGATTTCAGTTTGATATAATTAAGAACCTTTTTTTAAAAAAAATTAGGGTTATTGCCAGAGGCATTAGCTACCTTGATCACTTGCTGCTCACCTTGAGACATGAGGAAGGACAGACTAACCCACCCTTTTCTAAGGGTGGTGTAAAGGGAATCCTACATTGGGTGGGCGATTAGAATAATAAGCTTGTAACTCCCAGGGTTTATGATTCTATATGTACTTTGAAATCCTGAGAACAAAGGTGCTATATCAATGAGAAGCACTGTTCCCAGAAGTAATAGGTTTTACAATTTGTTTTATTCTTAAAGGTGACACTTTCACATATGATGATATGAAGAGAAACGCTCTGCAGTATATCCATGATGGTTCCTCTGTCTGGGAAGACAGCATGGAGATCTCAGTGACAGATGGCTTCACAGTGACCACGTCAGAAGTGAGAGTGGAGGTGTCCCTATCAGAGGGCCAAGGGCCGCGGCTGGCTGCCGGTTCCTCCCTGAGCATCACTGTTGCTAGCCAAAGCACAGCCATGATCACCAGGTCGCACCTTGCTTATGAGGTAAGGCCTTCCCTTCGCTCTCCTTGTTCTGCGCTGCACCTTCTGACCAGGTTGACGAGAAAGGCTGAATATTTGAGGCAGCTGGTGTGTGGCTATGTGAAGAATCTTTTTTTTTCAACTTCCCTACAGTTCTACTCTTAGAAGGAATCACATTATGTACCCTGGCTTCTGCTAATGTCTCAGGAGCAGATCAGTGAATGGGTAAAACTTTGATGAAAAAGCAGTGAGTATGTGGAGGGCTGGGTGCTTGTCGACGATGGGATAAGGAGCCAAAGTCAGAAAAGCCTGAGTGCTGTTGTTTAAGTGCCATGAATAATATTTCTAATATGAATTTTGAGAAAAGAGCACCTTAGAAGACTTTATCTGGTCAGTGACTGAAGGGAATAGTGTTCCTGGATCCCTGAGAGAAAACTTGCTTGTTACCAGCTTTTTTTTTGAGGGAGGTGGGTATCAGGGATTGAACTGAAAGGCACTCGACCACTGAGCCACATCCCCAGCCCTTTTTTGTATTTTATTTAGAGACAGGGTCTCACTGAGTTGCTTAGTGCCTTGCTGTTGCTGAGGCTGGCTTTGAACTCTCGATCTTCTTGCCTCAGCCTCCCAAGCCACGAGTCCATCTGCTTTTGTTTTGAGTCCATTCTAGACAGAACAAGAAGCATCAGTTTGCCAGTACCTCTGCAGGTTCCCTAGGCCAGATCACTCATTCACTCTCCATCTCCTGCCCCAGTAGTATAGTTAGGGGACCCCAGGGAATCAAGGACTCTGGGGGGGTTTCCCCTGTCTGCCCCTAACTTGGTGAGTTAATTAAATTCATCTTATTTCTTTGATTCTATTTCTGGGGCTAAGGACTATAAGGATAATTAATTTTATATTACAGTTATGTATTCTGTAAACAGAGAGGTACTCTGTGTAAACATAATAATGAATCGTCTTTATAGTGCCTTGAAAGGAAGAATAATTATCTGGTAATCATTGTTAACACTGAATTTTTCCTTTAATAATCTTAAAATTCCAGTGAATAGCCTGGACTTTTTTCCCCCTCTTTTTAAACACTCTATAGTTTTAAGTAATCTTTTTCAGGGCTGAAGAATCACACCATAAAAATCCAGCCTGTCCAGGTGCTGTGGCACATGCCTATAATCCTAGAAATAGGGAGTCTACTACAGTTTCAGAACAGCTTTTTTTTTTTTAACTGACAGGTGATTTTTATCATTGGTTATGGTCTTTTGAATCCTGTGAAACTCATGAATTCATAAAAATGTATGAATTTGGATTTAATCAATAGATCATGAAGGCTTGAAAAATGTTTGACAGACAAAAAATAGGACTTCAGGAACAGTTCCTGCCCATTAGCTGCATATTATTAGCTGCATATCAAAATGCAAGCCCATTGGCAACTGAACACATATTTTCAAAAATTGATTGAATTTGAATTTACCCACCAGAGCAGAAACACTCTAAAAGATCTGTTCTAGCCTGCTGAAGGCATAGCATACATTCTTAAAGACTTAGCTAGGTTATATATGAACTTTTCTCTGAGGGCTGTAGAAGAAGTTTTCAGTTAGTGTTATGGAAAAAAAAATTTCCAGAAATGTTAGTTAGTAAGCTTTCAGGGAACATCCAGAAGATTTAAGAAGCCATCTGAAATGCTTGTCTAGTCATGAATTGGGCAGAATATAAAGAGCCCAGAGCAAGTGAGACTTCTTAATTAGAGTATCAGCAACTACAACAGAGTGATGTGATGTTAGAGGAGATAAGAGGCAAAAATAGGGTCCTCTGTGATGTGTTTAACCGTTGCTTAATAGACACAATTTACTGTGTACCTCAAGTGAACAAATAGAGGAGGGATAGCATGGGTTCTGGAGTCATGGTTGATGGGTTTTAATTCAAGCTCCCACTTACTAATGCAGTGACCCTTGGCAAGGTGTTTAAGCAACTTTAAAAACTCAGTTTTCTCATCTATAGTGTGATGTGTAAGATCAGTCTTGAAAATCTAATAGCATTTCAATGTACCAACCAAAAATAAAACATTATATCATTTATAATAGTATATCAAGTATTTAGGAATAAATGTTAACAAAAGATGTGTAATTTCTGGAAAAGGTTGGTGCTATGACTGGCTATATGGAAAAATCCAGAAGACTCTTCTGACAAAGAATGAAAAATAAAAGGAAAATTTACCAAGAGGCCAGATAGGAGATCAATGAACAGCAATAGCATTGCTATATATAAGAAAAAAAAAAAGTTCTACTAAATGTAACTAAAAAGATGAAACTACTTAAAATAGCATTTAAAAAGTCATGTTCCTTGGATTAAATCTTAACAAAAACTAAGTAGTACTTTACAAGGAAACTCAAAGCACTTAATTGAAAGATAGTTCCAAAGCATTAAATAAATGAAGATATATGCCATGTTCATGAATAAGAATATTTAAAATATAAAAAAGAAACCAATTATCTCACAAAGGGACCTCTCAATTCATTTTATTTACAATCAGAAACCCAAAGGATAAGCTAGTTTTGAAATATATAAGAAAGAACAAAGGGCTAAAATTCTGAAAAAGAATGTTAGGTGGGCAGAATGACTTATCCTACTATATACCAAGATTTATTATAAACCTACAGTCTTTAAAGCAGTGTAGCACAGAAATATATTAGAAAGTCAAGAAATAGACCCACATATAATATAAAATAAATAATAAATGTAATATAAAACAGATAGTCAGCCAGATTGGTAGAAGCAGAAGAACCACTTGTCTCACGGAGCTGTACAAAATCATGACTCAGATGGCAACAGAGGAATTTGCACCACACCTTACACCTCAACAGATATTGACTTCAGACAGATCAAAATTTAAATGTCATAAGTAAACTTTTTACAATTCTTTGTGGAATATAGGTCTATATTTTTATGATATTGGGAAGGGAAAGAATCTCTCAAAGTAGAAACAAAAAAGAGCTAACTCAGGAAAGCTTGATAAATATGATTATATTAAAATTAAATTTATATTCACTGAAACAGACCAGAAAACAGCAAAGTCACAAATTGGAAAAAGATATCTGCAACATATATAGCCAAAATAATAAAGACTATAAAGAACTCTTACAGATCCAGAAGAAAGAGAGATCCCAACAAAACATGAGAAAGAGACATGAATAGGAATTTCACAGACACAGAAACTATCTGGTCAACACACATGTGAAGAAATATTCATTTCTATTAGTGACCAGGGAAAGCATGTTAAGTCCAGATCACTTTATATCAAGTATTGGAGGGGAAATGGATCTAGAAGAGGTTCCTTATTAGTGGGTGTATAAACTGAACACCAGAATTTGGCATTGCCTTGGTGGATGACTAATTATTTGCCTAACCATTTAACTCCTGGATTCTTACCCAAGAGAAACTTTCATATATACACCAAAGGACTTGTGCAATAATGTTCATAGCAATGAACAATGTTCAATAGCAAAACTATTGAAACAAGTCAAATGCCCATCCACAGGATAGCATAACTTATGATATACTTACTTGATGAATACTAGTGAGCCTCAAATCAGATGAATTACAGGTTACATTACACATAAAGTATGGATGGATCTTAGCAGTCTACTAGTGAATAAAAAGAAAAATAAACCCCATCAGAGTTGAAGCCAACTCTATTTTTACAAGTTAAAAAAAACTTAAAATACATTTTATAGTCATATATTAAACTACATTAAGAAATTTGAGAAAATGAGAAACAAGTTTCAGGGTGATGGAAGGCCCCAGAACAGGATAAATAAAGAGCACATAAGCAAATGTTATCAAGTTCTAATCTTCTTGTTGAATGGTGGGTTCATGGATGTGGAAATAATAAAAAGAAAATGAGAACGAGAGGAAGGTCTTTGAGAACAAGATTTATATTCTTAAGCATTTTGGTGCATCCATGGTATCTTGGATATCCTACAACAGTGAAAAAAATTTAGCAGATTTCTAATTCTTTCAAACCCAGCAATCATTTGAGAATTGAAACATAATAAGAGAGCCTGATATGAAATAAGCATTTCTTTGCCAATTTGCCAAAGTGGGATTTAGAAGGTATTCATTTTAATCAAGAGCCAGGAGCTCTGCCTTTATAGTAGTTCATCACCATCTCAGAAGACAATACCTTAAAACTCTCAGGTGGCTTTTAAAAATTGTCTCTCAGAATGAATTCACAGTAATATTAGGAAGTAGTCCTTTGGAAACCAACATATTCTATTTGATAACTCATGTAGGGAAATAAAGATACTTTGAAAAAGTGTAAATTTAGAGGAGATTTTCTGAAGTTTTTCGGCTTTGATAAATTTTAGTTTCCTTTCTTGCTAGTGTCAATGGATAAGGAAAATCTGTGATGTTGCATTGAGGCTCAGAGCCACTAGGGATGGAAATGAGACTGAACTCAAATACCCTGTCTCTGGATCACCAGGTGTCTGTGCTTACAATCCTGATCCCATCCCTCACTTAATGGGCAATATAAATGTGAGAATTTGTATTTGAAAGTAAAACTGACTATGCAATGTTTATTTTTATTACTGTCCTGATAAAGTGTAAATTTCCCCCATTTTCACAATTAGCTGCTCTAAAAGACAAATGATTCAGGGAAACTTTCCAAGAAGATGTTGCCTACGACCTAGATATTTCCAAAAATATTCTTTAAGAAAGTGGAAGCTGTTCATTAAGATATTCAGTTATTAAATTTGGAATAGAACCACCCTTTGACCCAGTTATCCCATTCCTCGGTATATACCCAAAGGATTTTAAATCAGCATACTACAGTGACACAGACACATCAATGTTTATAGCAGCTCAATTCTTAATGGTAAAGCTATAAAACCAACCTAGGTGCCCTTCAACGATGAATAGATACAGAAAATGTGGTGTATACATAAATGAAATATGTATGTATATTCCATTGTATGTATACACCAATGTATACATACAATTGTATACATTGTTTTATTTCTCAATAAAAAGACAATTTTATTTCTCAATAAACAATGCACCCCTTGGGGGGTGAGCACCCACAGATTCACTTCTAATAGAATGAAATCTGCAAGACTAAAATGCTTTCCTTAATCCAGCATCTTACCATGTTGAATATTAAAGTGAGTCATTAACTAAGCTAAAGACTTTCTGTTCTTCCTCTACCACAGACTTTTGTCATTGTACACTGTATTCTGTGTTACAATAGAATGTTACTCCAGGCATGGAGGTGCACACCTATAATTCCAGCAACTCGCAGGCTGAGGCAGGAGGATTCCAAGTTTAAGGTCTGCCTGTACAATGAGGCGAGACCTGAGCAACTTACTGAGAACCTATGTCAATAAAAATAAAAATTTATAAGGGTTTAGGGACATAGCTCAGTGGTAAAGCACACTTCTCTTTACTCTCTCCAGTGAGGAAAAAAAAAAAGTTTAAAAAAGAAAAATATTATTGGAATTTTACCTGTTTCCAAAATACAAACTGACCTTAAAAACTCGAGAAGCAACCTATACCTGTGTTTACAGATAATGACTTATAGCTGATCATGTTTCGTTCTTCACTAGATACTCGTAATCACAACAAAAACTTTGCGTGACCCTTGTGGTAATGGTAAAGTGGGTCCATACCTAAAGTGCACTTCCTCCACTGTTATTTAGAAGAACTCCACTCTTGGAAGAAGGCATTATCAGAGAGGCAGTTTAGGAGCAGTAAATGCTAAGGTTAGAAATGGTGTTGCTTTATGACAAAGGGAAAGAGACTTTTACCATTAGCAGAGAAGGAAGTGCCTACAGATCTTTAACTGCTGAAGTATTGGTTCCTACAAATGTGCCTTCATGTCCTGACTCATATTTGCCTGATTAGGATGATTCTTCCCCCGACTCAGAGATCTGGATTCAGTTAAGTTCTCTGCCCATGTATGGTGCTCTCTTAAGGACCTCAGGATCTGAGGTGGAGGAACTCTCAGAGGTTTCCAATTTCACCATGGAGGACATCAACAACAAGAACATTAGGTAACCACTTTGTTTATTTGTATTTTTAAAGATTGCATTAAACTAGCTGGGGCTGTCACTCAGTGGTAGAGTTCTTGCGTAGCATCTGGAGGTAGCGGGTTTGATCCACAGAACTGCAGGGAAAAAAAGAGTATTTATTAATTGTATTAAAATATTTAAGCTACTGTCTGTAATTTCTTCAAACAATACATTGTTTCTGGCCCCGTTTTAATAACAAAATTCACCTTCCCCAGCTTGTCATTATGGCTCATTTTTGGAGTCTTCTTTTGGCCTTTGTAGATACTCAGCTGTATTTGAGACAGATGGTCATGTGGTTACTGACAGCTTCCACTTCTCTGTCTCTGACATGGACCACAACCGTCTGGACAATCAGATATTTACCGTCACAATCACTCCTGCCAAGAGTCCACCTCCAGTCATCGCTTTCGCCGACCTCATCACGGTAAACAGTTCTCAGATCAATGAGCAGTGAATGCTGTGGGGAGCTGGAGTCCTGGGGGATGTAAATAGAGGGTTTCTGCCTGAGTAGGTTGCCATGTTTTTCCCCCAGATATCTAGGCAGCGATGTCAAGAAATGCATGGTTTTCAATCATGAGTTTTTCAAAAAGTATAAAAATAATTATATCCAAAAGTTCAAATCATTCTATTCACAAGTCAGTCAACAAATGTTTATGTGCTCAAAATTGTTATAATTGGGCGTAAAATTGAAGTAGAATGCATCTTAGAGGAGTTTGCAATCTAACGTTGGTAGTAACTAAAACACAGACAGTACCTCCAGTCACTCCTTAGATCTAGCGAATATTTATCACTGTAAACAATATTAACAGATCCTTGGAGGAAGAGGGGCAATATAATGAGCCTTCATCACCGACATTATCCAATTATCCAAACATAAGTTCAAGTACCAGCTCTGTTACTTACTAGCAGAGTGGTGTTGGACCTAGTACTTAATCGTTCTTAGCCTCAGTTTCTTCATCTTTAAAATATTACTCTTCTGGCTGGGCACCATGGGGGCACACCTGTAATTCCAGCAACTTGGGAAACTGAGGCAAAAAGATCACAGTTTGAGGTTAGCCTTGCAACTTAGTGAGACTCTGACTCAAAAATAAAGATAAAAAAGGCTGGGGGTGTAGCTCAATAGTAGAGCACCCCTGGGTTCAATCTCCAGTATTATGCACATATACACAAAAATATTTCTCTGACAATTAATAAGATAGTATGGATCACCCTTAGCACAGACCTGGTTGGTGCATGGTAGGGCTTTTATGAAAGTAAATTTGTTTTCCTCTTTCCACTTTAAGTACCTATCATAATGTTAAAAGCTTGGGAGTTTTTCTAGTTTTGTCAAGCAACTGAAAATTCACAAGACTCTGAAAGGTTTCTAGATGGTTTCGATAGTCTTCCCATTTTTCCATTTTCCACACCTTGGGGAAACCGCTTGGACCCTCTCTCTTCCCTGAGTCCCACATTTCAATTTATAGATCTTCCTACAGTTAGCCAAGAGTTGTTCAAAGTGGAATGGCTTGACCGTTTCCAGTAGGTCAGCAAAAAGCACCAGGCTTATGTTGCAGAGTTAGCATATAAAACAGAGCCCTAAAGGAAAAAAGTAGTTTGAGCAACTGCTTATACTTACACTGATTTATTTTCTTTCTTGACATTAAGATAAGCATTAGCTTTCAGATATGATGAACCCTTTCTTCCCACACACCTATAAATATACAATGTAAGGAAATAAATGGCACTTTTATTCTGGATGGTAACACCTATAGGACAGTCACCCTCATGGAGCCCCGGGGAGGACTGGATCTATCATTCTCTGGCTGTGGACTTTTGAATGTCGATGCTGTAAGAAGGCAGCCATCCTGTTGTGCAGCTGCACTGGGGAGGGTGATTGGAATGGGCCAGAGCTGCTTTATAACCAGATCCATCATTGAATGAAGTGCAACTTTGAAGGGAGTCGTGGAAGTCATCGTGTCTGAGTGTATCTTTGAAAAGCGCTGAAAGATTGCCTGCCTTCAGCAGCATGCACATTCCTCATCTCGTCTGTAGAGGATCTGCCTCCTCTCAGAAGTGGAATTGGTGCTGGAAGGTCACCCCAGGCAGCACTTTTCAATTCAGTTCTTTTTTTATTGCAGTTATGTGCAACTGTCCAAGGACTCTGCATTCTCTCTTCCTTAGGTCGATGAGGGAGGGAGAGCCCCACTCTCCTTTCACCATTTCTTTGCGACTGATGATCATGAGAACCTCCAGGGAGATGCCATCATTAAGCTAAGCGCATTGCCCAAATATGGCTGCATTGAGAACAGAGGAACAGGTAATAGTAGTAGCTTTGCTGTAGATCTTTGTTCAAGATCTGGAAAGAAAGGCGAGTGGAGGGAGAACTTGTAGTCCCATTCAACCTGGCGATGGAGAACTAACGAGAAATGGAAACATTTCCATGAGATGAAAGGACGGAAGGTTTCATTCATTCAACAAAAATTTACCAAGCATTTTCTGTGGACAGTGCATTTTAAAGCATTTGGGAAACACCAGTAAGCAAAACAAAAGAAAACCCTTACCTTCAAAGTGCTTTAGATTCTAGTGGAGGAAGACAAAATAATAATAATTATGAGAAAATTGAGTAAGATGTTAGAAGGTGAAAATGCTGTGGATAATATAGGTCAGGCAGAGGAATTTGGAATGCTAGCCATGAGGGCAGAGGGTCTTTTGGATAACTTTCAGAACTAAGTTGTCAAAGAGAAAAAAAATTCTCTCTTTATTGTGAGGCAGCTGCAGTTTAGCTGACCATAGTGTATGTAGCATCTCTCCTATGGCTATGACATGAATTGAAATGCATGCTGTCTATCTCTGACCCTCTTCAACATCCCTCCTGCTCCACCATCTGCCCTTGGACCCACTGGTGTTAATCACAGAGAAGGAGAAGCAAAAAGACATGTACTGTCCACAAGCCTCCTGAGACCTACCATGACTGGCAGTTGAGACAGCTCATGGCAGGTTGCTGTATGGCTGCCTCAGCAATGAGATTCCTGAGCACTGGTGCTTAGCTCTAATTGACATGTAGCTAGTAGCTCCCACAGAGAGACCACTGACTGCAGGTGTCTGTGGTCAGCATGGTGCCTGGGATTTGAGCCTGGAGACTGGAAACTCATTTAAATTAGTCATGTTTTCCTATCCAAACTCTTGGAACTCTTCCCTGTCTTGCCTTTCAGTGTGTGCACTCAGATTTGCTTATCGCTGAATTAGGTTTGTTTTAACAAATGTTTGTGTTAGATACGATGGATGTACAGCTAAATAACATAGACCCTGCCTTGAAAGGGAGACAGGTACGAAGATTGATCATTTATGATAAATGACAAATGCCTGCTAGGGAAAGGAGCAAAGCTCTAAGAGAATATGTAAAACAAAGCAGTTGTTTTTGCCTTGGAAGCTAGTAAAGTCAGAGGAAGTGGCATTTGAGCTGGAACATAAAGGATTCATGGGAGTCACTATGGGCAGAAGGACAATGGCATTTCTTGCAATGGAAAGAGCATGCACATAGTGGGAAATCATGAAGAGATGTTGCCCCTGCCCCAATCATGTGTTTTTTTTTTTTTCTTATGAAGCCTTTGTAACACTGTTTTACATTTATCTGGAACACATGATGGAGCATAAGCATGCTATGTAGAGGGGTAAGTAGCTCACTGGCCCAAAAGTTAAAATTCTAACAAGACTCATCCTCTTTAGAAAGTACCTCCCTCACCTGGAGGGCAACAACCTCAAAGGTCCTATTGTAGGGTATTGGTGTAGCCTGTGAATTTGCATTTTTCTCTAGCTAAGAGGTGATGTCATGGCTGCTGGCCCAGGGGACATACTTAGAGGAGAAGCACTTCTCTGCAGTTTCATGGGTATGAACCTGAAATTAAGGAAAAAGGCATTCAGGGGAGCAAAATCGTCATCCCAGGTTATATCAGCTAAGGACCCTTCCCTTTGTTTCATGGGGGTGGGGGACTTTTGCCTCTGTTTGGAATTGAGTCTCTCTCTCTCTCTCTCTCTCTCTCTCTCTCTC